GCATTAGAGGTAAACCTTTAGATCTTATAAAAGACTACCTAACAAATAGAACGCAGCGAGTTAGGGTTGATAATCATGTTAGTGATGCACTTGCCACATCATTTGGCGTACCACAAGGAAGTGTACTCGGCCCTACACTGTTTTTAACATATATCTATCTATCTATATATATATATATATATATATATATATATATATATATATCATAATCCTCAGAAGACACAAGTTTGCGCGTTTACCGCTAAAAAGAACCCCTTTGTAGTATCTCCTCAGTTTCAAGGCACTCCCCTTGCTGCCTATCGGAATCCTTGGCGTCGACATATCGAATAGTGTGCAGTTTCGTGGTCACTTGGAAGGGAAGGCCAAATTGGCCTCTAAAAAGCTTGGCGTGCTCAGCAGAGCGAGACAGTATTTCATGCCGGCACATCGCTTGTAACTTTACAAAGCGCAAGTTCGGCCCCACATGGAATACTGTTCTCATCTCTGGGCCGGGGCACCCCAGTGCCAGCTCCTTCCACTTGACCGCATCCAGCGCAGAGCGGTTCGAATCGTCGACGACCGAGTCCTTTCTGATCGGCTCGATACACTGGCACTGCGTAGAGATGTGGCATCTCTTTGCGTATTTTATCGCATCTATCACGGGGAGTGCTCTGAGGAATTGTTTGGACTAATTCCAGCCGCTCAATTTCACCATCGCACATCGCGACAAAACTTGCGTTACCATCCATACCATCTGGATGATTGACGGTCCAGCACTGTGCGATTTAGAAGAAGTTTTCTCCCTCGCACAACTTCCTTGTGAAATCAATTACCACCAGCGAATTTTCCGGACCGATACGACTTAGGAACCTTCAAGAAAAGAGCTTACACCTTTCTAAAAGGCCGGCAACGCATCTGCAATTCCCCTGGTGTTGCAGTTGTTCATGGGCGGCGGTAGTCACTTACTATCAGATGAGCCGCAAACTCGTTTGCCACCTCTTCTATAAAAAAAAATATTAACGATCTCCTAAATATTACAATTACACGAGGTAAGATTTTAAGTTTTGCTGACGATACAGCCCTCCTTTTTCATGCAAATACGTGGCAAGAAGTTTATGAAAATGCTCAAGAAGGCTTAAATAAAGTATCTGACTGGCTAATAAACAACCCTTTAACATTAAATATACAAAAGACAAAATATATGATTTTTACAATGCGTTCAGCCAATAACATTAACTTCCAATATTCATTAAAAGTACATACATGTTCAAAGATGAAAATGACTCAATGTCATTGCAGTGCTATTGAGAGAGTAGATAATATGAAATATCTTGGAGTAATTATTGATAACAAACTCAGTTTTCAAAGCCACATAGGCATGTTGACAACTAGAGTAAGAAAGTTAATATACATTTTTAAAAACCTTAGTAACATAGCTGATTTAAAAGTCATCAAAATAGTTTACTTTGCCTTATGTCAATCGATTATCGCATACTGTATAACATCCTGGGGTGGTTCTGAAAAGACAAAAATTATAAAACTGGAAAGAGAGCACACACAGAGAGCTATACTAAAAGTATCCGCCTCACTTCCCTTTCTTTACCCTACTGTAGACTTATACAAGCGTTGGAAAGTCCTATCTGTGAGTCAGCTCTTTATTCTACAATGTATCATTAAAAAACACTCACTCTTACAGTATAATCCACAATTGATAAAAGATAAGCGCAGAAATGATCTAGTCTGTAACTACAACACGCATTACACCAAATTTTCACATAAATTCTTTACCTTTCTAAGTAATTATCTATATAATAAAACCAACGCTAGAATTGGTATATATCCACTTAATTGAAATAATTGCAATTTAAAAGTAAATCAATGGTTGTTAAGTCTAGACTACGAGACCACTGAAAACCTTCTTATTTTATATACATAACTCTAATACTGGATAGATCATACATACACACACGCACACATCACTAAAGTAACTCATATTACAATTCATTTGTCTCTCATTTGTTAATCATACAAATAGCATGTTAAGTTGTGATGATATTATCCTGAGGGGGAGACCCTGGTGATCCGTAACACAGGCTTCCGCCTAGTACAGATACTAGACTCTCAGCCCATAGTCTACTTTTTTTATAACCTACCTTGTAAACTTATTTTGTGAGAGTAAATAAATATATATATTATATTAATTCAGTTCATTTATCTCTTCACAACTTACTGCCTGGTTAACAATATCGATGTACATAGTAAGGACCTAGCGTTGTGAGAGACTGGTGCCTATTATAGGTTTTATATTAAAAACCTGGGTTACAGGTCACCAGCCCCCCTTCGCGGATAGGTTACATACAATACAAAGAAATAATACAGAGAGGAAATATATCATAAAAGAGATTATAAAAAGTTACATTATAAGGCGAATTGCTGAATCCATTCAATGGATATGGACGTGTATATATGAAAGCGTGTATGTGTAGATTTTTATGTATTAGCGCGAGCGCGCGTGTGTGTGTGTTTGTACGCGCGTGTGTGTGTTTGTATACGCGTGTGTGTATGTATACATATATAACGATATTATTAACGAGCTTATTATTAATTTTTCTGGTCGCAAATTTTGACTTCATTAAGTATGCTAGACGGATATTTAAATTAATAATAAAATAATAAATATCACTTTATTCTACATTTGTAGAACAAATTTACATACTAAATAAGTACTTAATTAAACTTAGCCAATCGGAGGTGACTCAGCTATTGCTTACATGGGGCTAAGATGCTGCTAGTTTTCAGGCACTCCTTCTTCCCTGAGATGTTAAATATATGTCGTGAGAGTGGCGAGCTCACCAATCACCATCTAATATTTAAAAATTATAGATAGGTTGTGTAACGTAAGTGTATGATGTGTGTGCGCGTCTCTCTCTCTCTCTCTCTCTCCCTCTCTCTCTGTGCATGTGTGTGTCTATGTTGTGTGTGCACGCGCGCGCGTACGTTTGTGTGTGTGTGTGTGTGTGATTTTGCGCGCGCGTGTGTGTATATGCGTGTGCTTATTCTAGTAGTACATGGGGATGATTTTTTAATGGGTTATAATATACTAAAATATGTTTCAAATTTTCTGCAGCAATTTGCCGCTTCAATAGTGCTGATTTATATTTGGTGTTAATAATAATAATTTATTTGATACAGACAACACAGATCCATTACAAAATTAATTTTTTTTTTAAACTATACCTTAAATTTAATTATAATTATTGGTTAATCAATGATATTATTACATTTTATTAATTACATTTTAATAAATTTGACCATCTACTAAAAATTTCACTACATGCATACATATTACAAATAATTTTGATGAGATTATTCTGCGACCCAAAAACAAAACTTCTAAATCGCGCGATACGGTGACGGATCAACGCATCCAAACCAACGATACGGGCCTCTGCGAACATCTGAGACGCGCTACAGTATCGTGGCTGACGGAACAACACGCGGAACGAATCATTATACTGCACCTTCAGCCTGCGATATTCCTCTTTAGTGTAATTCGTCCACAGCTGAGGAGTGTAAAGTGGCTGACAGTAAGCTGAAAACAACGCCAGCTTTGAGGTATAAGAACACCTTTGAAAGCGTCTAGCTATCATGTTGGCACGCACTGAAAAGGAACGACGCTCGCGGTCCATATCGGAACCATCACACAGATCCTGAGTAACAATATGACCCAGGTATTTAAACGTCGTTACCCACTCCAATTGTGAATTACACAAATACAATGGGGGGATATGAGGTTGAATCCTACCACTCTTAAAAAGCAAACAAACAGACTTGTTGGTGTTAAGAGTTGTTTAAAGCTGTTTAAAGTTTCCCGAGCTCATTTTATTTCTCAGAGGGGGGAGCAAATCGTTGCATACTTTTGCTGCAGTAAATTTAAAACACCTGTGTAGCTCGTTGTGTTATGTTTTGGCATTTTAGAGAACCAGAGACTAATTTAACTGGAAAAGAGGCATTCCATCTTAGTCCTCACGGGTGACAACGCATTTGCATTTTGATTGTTTACTGGGGATAAATGTAGATGTACATTTATAAAAATATTGAGTATTAGCTTTTTTCTACTAAAGATGCCTTTTAAACAGAAACAGAAACAGAAACAGAAACTATTTTATTCAATATAGATTAAAATAAAGCTTATTGAAAGTCACTCTTTTGTATAATTACCACTGGTTCGAAAAGAAACCTCTGTCCTGGGAAAGAACCAGCAAGAAACCCAGCGGGACTTTTTTTTAATTTAACAGCTTACAATCACAAATTAACAACTCAATAAATTAGAAATATCTTGGTAGCGATCACCTCATTTCCAGGGGTTATTATCATCTATAAATTCTTTAATATTATAATAACCCTTTTTTTACTAGCAAGCTAGTTGTACTGTTTGTCCTATTGATACACTTGAAGAGTTGATAATATATAAATCAAACTACAACAATGTATGATCTGAGCTGGTTTATTATTATATACAATAATTTAAATGGCCTTATTACACACTGAGTAACGCAACCATAGCGCAATCTATTTCTATGTCAACGCCATCTATCGAAGTAGAACTAAAACTTTTTTAATTACAAATGTGGTTTCTTCATTAACATACCGCCCACCAAGGACATTTAGTGACGGAATGGCCTTTTAAATTGTACTTAAGTCTAAAATTTGCACTTAAATCTAAAATTTGCACTTAAATTTAAAATTTGAACTTAAATCTAAAATTTGCACTTAATACTTTATAACGTTATACACTTCTATAATTTAATCTCATAAAGTATGACCTAAAAACTTACAAATAAAAATAAAGACTTCAACAGCTTAAAATAACCTAAAATAAAATTTTGAAAAGTAACATTGTAAAATTAAACCTATAAATGTAATTAATGTTGTACATATAGCTACATTTGATCGTTAAAGTAAAAGAACATTTGATACAATAATATTTTTACATAAATTTGACATAAAAATTGAACAATTCATGGATCCGAGATAGGCAGAATACATAATTTTGATGTTGGCCTCTTAATTACGGATGTTTTCGTACGCAATGTGACTACACGGGTAACGTTATCATCACCGGGGTGTTTCTCTATAGCTCTACCCAATAACCAACGACTTGGAGGCAAATCATCTTCTTTAATTAAAACAACGTCACCAACATTAGGTTCCGGAACTTGTGACGCCCATTTGTACCTATTCATGAGCTTTGACAGATATTCCTGTGACCATCGTTTCCAAAAAGACTGCAGCATCCTTTGCACAAATTGCCACCTAGTTAAATAGCTTACGTTTGAACTTTTGTAATTTTTATCTGGTACATTAATTATCGGTTCTCCTATTAAAAAATGTCCAGGAGTTAAAGGGAGGGGCTCACCAGGATCAGTAAAGTTAATAACGCTTATCGGCCGCGAATTCAGACAGGCTTCCACTTGATTGAGGAATGTAGTCATTTCCTCGTACGTTAGGGTAGAGTCGCCAATAACCCTTTTAAGGTGAAATTTGGTGGATTTTACACCCGCTTCCCAAAGACCACCGAAATTGGGAGCATGAGGCGGAATAAAATGCCACTCGGTGTTGTTTGCTTCCAGATATTCTGCTATGGCTGGCTGAATAGATGCCAACTGTTGCAGTTCTCTGGAGGCGCCTACAAAGTTGGAGCCGTTGCCGCTCCACAATTTAGCACAGTGACCTCGTCGCGACACAAAACGTCGAAAAGCGGCAAAAAATGCCTGTGTGCTCATGTCACTGACGACCTCTAGGTGAATAGCACGAGTGGACATGCAAACGAAAAGGCATATGTAGCCCTTATAAGAACGATGCCCACGTCCTTTAGTGGTTCTTATACTTATGGGTCCAGCATAATCCACTCCGCTATATAAAAATGGTCTTGCTGGTGTACATCGAACCGATGGGAGCGCACCCATCAGTTGGTTTCTAACACTAGCTCTCTGTTTCGCACAAGTTACACACTTGCGAACATATTGTTGAACTAGAGATCTAGCACCTATTACCCAAAAGGCTGACCTTAAATAGTTTGCCATTAACTGAGGACCACCATGCAATGTCTTCTCATGCGCGTCTGCAACTATAAGAAGAGTCAAATGGCATGAATGTGGTAGAACTATCGGATGTTTTACTTGCTCATCTAGTTCAGACTTTTCAAGTCGTCCACGAATTCGCATGATACCATTCTTGTCGAGAAAAGGACAAAGTGATTTCAATTTACTTGATTTTATATTCAAATACCCTTTTTCCTTTAATTGTTCATATTCTGTTGTGAATGAATCTATTTGTGATTTCCTTATACAAGTTTGTAATGCTGCTTCTATTTCGTGATCTTTCAAATATTTACTATCGTGTTTTTCCTTTTTTAAAACTCTTCGACAATACGCAATAACTTTAACTAATTTTCTTAGACTGGAATAATTTTCGAAAACTACGTGCTCTGGAACTACAGCTGTGTGCGCCTTTATAGTTTGTTCTAAATCTGTCTTTAGATTCTTTGGCCTCTTGTACTCAATTAATTTATTTTTCAGAAATGATGGTCCTGAAAACCATAACTCATTACCGACTAATGAACTGGGTAGTATTCCTCTTGATGCGCAGTCAGCTGGGTTCTCTTTGGTCGGCACATGAAACCATTGAGATGAATTCAAAGCGCCCAAAATTTCTGAAGTCCTGTTGGCAACAAACGTTTTCCACCTGCTAGGGTGACTATTAAGCCACGATAGCACTACTGTAGAATCTGTCCATGCAAAGATCTTTTCCTTTGAAATATTTAAAATCTCTGCTGTCTCTATCAATAACTTTGATACAAGTACAGCACCACATAGCTCCAATCGAGGAATACTAATTTGTTTGATGGGAGCTACTCTCGTTTTAGCCACTAACAACGACAGATGAATTTTGCCTGAGACATCAATTGTTCTTAAGTAAACGACGGCTGAGTACGCTGCTTTAGAGGCGTCACTAAAACCGTGCAATTCAAGGTCATCAGATGAACTAGTACCAAGCCAACGAGGTACCTGAACTTTGGTTAGTAATGACAACTCTTCGCGGTAAGTACTCCACTCTGTTATTACTTCGGTAGTTAATTCCTCATCCCAACAAACACCTAAGAGCCATAATTTTTGTATGAACATCTTTGCTAATACGACACTAGGAGCTAACCATCCCAATGGGTCGAACAAACGAGCTATATCTGATATTATTAGTCTTTTTGTTACAGGTGCTGTCGTCAGCGGTGGAAGATTTACCGAGTACTGAAAGCAATCTTCGTGGCGGTTCCAGGTAAGTCCCAAAATTTTTATTGTACTATCTAGCTTAATTTCTATTTCCTTATTATCTTTAACTCCTATGTCCTCTTTGTCCTTATTTTCAGTGTTCTCATTTTTAATTTTTATTTGACCTGTTTGCTGTACTACTTCATTTGTATATATTGAACTTATTCTATCTAATAGTTGCCGATTGTTACTGTTCCACTTCTGCAATGCGAATCCTCCCTTTCCTAATAATGCTACCATCTGTTTACAGATTTCAACGCCCTCTTCGACGCTATTACTTCCCATCATTAAATCGTCCATATAAAAAGAGTTTAAAACTCTATTTGCTGCAAGCGGGTACTTATCTCCTTCGTCGTACGCAACCTGATGGAGTGACCTAACTGCCTGATATGGTGCAGAAGCTGTTCCAAAGGTCACCGTTACCAACTCATAATCCCTAAGTGGCTTTTCAGGGCTTTCTCGCCAAAGTATCCTCTGGAAGACAGCATCTTCATCCGCTATTCTGACTTGGCGGTACATTTTGATTATATCCGCCACAATACCAATAGCGTGTACTCTCCATCTAAGAATGGTGTGTCTTAAGTCTGCTTGCAGCGTTGGTCCAACCATTAAAGTGTCATTGAGTGAAACTCCTTTTTTATTTTTCTCAGATTCGTTGAAAACTACACGTACCTTCGTGGTGGTCTTATCGTTTCTAATCACCGCGTGGTGTGGTAAGTAAACTGCTTCATCTTTCTTATTATCCTCTTCCTTTACAGGTCTCATGTGTCCTAATTGTAAGTATTCATTAATTACCTCTGTATATTTTTCCTTTAAATATGTGTCCTTATTTAATCTTTTTTCTAACGATTTGACTCTTGTTTCAGCTATGTCACGGGAACTTCCGGCCTTGCATGCAGGATCTTCGTCTCGAAATGGTAAACGTACAATGTATCTGCCTGTATCATCCCTCTTAGTAGTTTTCATATAAAATTCTTCACATTTTTGCTCTTCTGGGTTAAGTAATTTCCTTGTACTCACTTGTTCTTCTATCTCCCAGAATTTCTTTAGAATATTGTCTTCATTGAACTGTGTACAGTGCACACTTAAATTTCTTGTGTGGTGTTTTGAACTCTCATTGCTTGAACTGACTACACCGGAAAGGATCCACCCTAAGGTGGTGTTCTGCGCTATTAGAGTACCAGACGGACTCTTTACTACACCTTCCTTCATAATGCAACAGTAAGCATCTGCACCCAAAAGAATGTCTATTTTATTAGGTGTTTTGAAATAAGGATCTGCCAAACAAAGACCGTTGATATCAATCCAATCCAATGAACTGGTATTCACACTTCTCTCAGGTAAGTATGATGTAATCTTACTCAAGACGTAAGCATTTATTTGAAGTTGAAAATCAAGATCAACAGTGGATTTAATAATTAAATTTACCATATAATTAGCAATGGTTGACTTATTATCTCCTAAACCTGAAACGTGACCTCGGACTGGAATTTTCTTAAGCCTAAGAAATTGGACAGTGGCCTCTGTTATAAAACATGCTTGTGATCCTAGATCAAGTAGGGCTCGAATTGTTTGAAATTCACCTATCTTGGACTCTGCCTTTATTAATGCAGTGGCTAATAAAACCTGTCTGGGTTTTAAGACTTTGCCCGTAGATAAGCATGTAACTATCTGATTGTCACTATTTGAAGAACTGGCGTTGTCGATAGTGGACTTTACTGTAGAATCTTGGCCTTTATTCTCAGCGTTAGGTTCTCTATTAGGGTGCAGCAAGGAATGGTGGCGCTTTTTGCAAACTCTACAGACATTCTGCTTTTTACAGTCATAAACTGTATGATTTCCGCCTAAACAATTAAAACATATTTTATTTTTTGCTACGAACTCTCGTCTGTTTTCTATGGACTGTTTTGCAAATTGCTTACAAAAACAGAGCTTGTGAAGTTCTGAGCAAAATTCGCAACGACTATTCGACGACTTTGTGGCCAGCATTGCTTTCGAACTAAGAACGTGAGAACTATTATTGATCTGGTGAGCCACAGCCTTCCTCGGCTCTATACATTCTAAAGCGCGAAAACGACTTTCAATAAATATCCGAAACTGCTCAAAGGTGGGCAACTCGTTGCTGGAGTCATTAGAAACACTTAACTCCCACTGCTTTCGTGTTTCATTATCTAATTTGAACGTCACTATATGGATAGCAATAACGTCCCATGTACTTACATCGATTTTCAAATTTTTCAATGCATTTAAACAGTCGCTCGTGGTATCTAGCAGCTCCTTTAATGAGTTAGCCGATTCCACATGTAAGCGTTTCTGGCCGAACAATCTTTTTAAAATACAACTGGTTAAATACTTTTTATTTGCATAACGCTTTTCTAACTGAGACCAACATTCGCGGTAATTGGCATCTGTGATTGGTGTGTGCCTAATCAACTGTTCGGCTTCACCAGTGAGGTGGCTTTTAAGATAGTGCAGTTTTTGCACATTATCTAAAGATGCATTATTGTGTACAAGTGAAATAAAAAGATCGTGAAAAGATGTCCATTCACTGTACTTGCCAGAAAAGGTAGGAATTGTTATCTTGGGCAACTTTACAAATGAATTAGATTGCTTAGAAGAATTATTACTACATCCACTGTCTTGTGGTAGCGGTTCTCTTACACTATTTAACGTTGATTTCATTAAACATTTACATGATATGTAAGTATCTTCGGTTGTGTCATATATATCGACAACCTTTTGACCTATGTCTTCTAACTTAAACCGACCATAAAGTTGAGATTTAGTATTTTTAAACGAAGACCAATCATTTTCTAATAATTCAAGCCTTGTTTGTATATATTCTACTGTAAGTCTATCCTTTGGACACTTTTTAAAATTAGTAAAGGCTTTTTGAATTACTTGTTGAAGGTCTTTTAATATATTAATTTGTCCTTCCATCGTAAACAACAAACAAAATGATGGTAAAGATAGTTATAGAATTGATTAATTAATATCAAAAAAAAGTATAATTTAATTATTTATGTGAAGATAAATTTATCAATCTAAATGTTAACACAATATTAACTTGGTAACAGAACAACCTCAATTGAAATGTATAACTTTACAAGTTTCTTTACTAGACAAAAGTTTGCGATTTTTTCTAAGTCTCAAAAACAACGAAAAATTTTACAAGTGTTTATAAATAAATACACTCTGGTAGAAATCGGACATAGGTTCCCCGTTCCTCCGTTTTTATAAAACTTATTCTAAGTCCTTAATCTAACATGCACAATTTTAAAGTTAAAATCTTCTTAGAAATAAAGTTTAAAATTGCTTGGCAAATAATGTCTACAGTACTTGTCACCAATCAAGTTATATTAAATGTCTCTGCTACTATGGTATTTAATTAAATTGTACTCACGTTTGCACTTCACTCACACAAACCCAGGTTGAACTAGTAGTGTACTCGTGGCGCCCTCCTTCGGCGTCACTTTGAACTTCAACTCCCGGCTGCTATCGACGAACTCGAAGATTGAATTGGCGATGTACTGCTGATGGCGCCCTCTGTGGCGTCACGTTGAACTAACACTCCCAATGCAGCTGAGTATGGCCCTCTTGCTGGGCCAAGCTGTTGCTGCCTCTGCGAGGTGCCCGGTACTCTTGCCGCAGCGATCCACTGCGAGTACTACGGGGTGCGGCCCAAAGCTGGCACCGCAAACTAACAAAAAATTCAGACTATTCCGGGTCTGATATCCGGGGTCGATGGACCAATGTTTACTAGCAAGCTAGTTGTACTGTTTGTCCTATTGATACACTTGAAGAGTTGATAATATATAAATCAAACTACAACAATGTATGATCTGAGCTGGTTTATTATTATATACAATAATTTAAATGGCCTTATTACACACTGAGTAACGCAACCATAGCGCAATCTATTTCTATGTCAACGCCATCTATCGAAGTAGAACTAAAACTTTTTTAATTACAAATGTGGTTTCTTCATTAACACCCTTTTTATACAAACTTAGTTTAATAAAGTTTTTGAACTTTGAGCAGGTCAAATTTTGTATATTTTCTGGAATTTCGTTGTAAAAGCGTATACATCGCACCAAGAATGAATTACTGACTCGATGGAGTCAAGTAACTAGCTTGTGTCTAGCATTTACAGAATGAATATCACTAATTTTTGTAAAACTACTTTTATTTTTGTGTACGTATATTACATTTTCATAAATGTATTGAGAGGCCAAAGTTAATATATTAATTTCCTTAAAGTTTTGTCGCAGCGATTCTTTAGGCTTTAAATCATAAATTGCTCTTATGGCCCTCTTCTGTAAAACAAATATAATTTCAGTGTCAGCTGCGAGTTCCCATAGCAAAATACCATACGACATTATGCTATGGAAATAGCTGAAGTAAACTAGTCTAGCTGTTTCAACACTAGTTAGACTTCTAATCTTTTTTACACCATATGCTGCAGAACTAAGTCTGCTTACTAGTTTTGATATATGGGGGCTCCATTGAAGCTTCGCGTCTAGTGTTATTCCAAGAAAAATGGTGGTATCTACAAGACTCAGTTTCTCCCCATTTAAAATTACATTAGTATTTAATTGTTTAACATTTGAGTCATAAATCTCATACATATCGTTTTAGTGCCATTTAAATGCAAATTATTAACATTGAACCAATTTACTAATTTAGATATAGCATTATTTACTTCGTCATATTTTAGCAATTGTCGACTTAATTTGAAAATTAAAGAAGTGTCATCTGCAAATAATACTATATCATGGTTATCTCGTACTATCTAAGGTAAGTCATTAATGTATACAAGAAACAGAAAGGGGCCGAGAATTAAGCCTTGAGGCACGCACATTTGTACCATCGACCCGGAAGAACTCATACTGTTAATGACAACTTTTTGCGTTCTCTTACTTAAATATGAAATAATTAATTTAAGAACATCACTTCTTACACCGTAGTGTTGAAGTTTCCTGATTAATGTTTCATAAAAACATATCGTAAACACAATCGAAGGCTTTGGATAGGTCACAAAATATACCCAAAGCATCCTGTGAATTCTCCCATGTATTAAATATATATTTAATCAGCTCAACACCGGCATCAGTTGTCGAGCGACTCCTTGTGAAACCAAATTGATTTTTATGAAGTAAATTATTTATATTAAAGAAATTTAACATTTGATCAAGAATATTTTTTTCAAAAATCATACTTAGTGTTTTTAGTAGAGAAATAGGTCTAAAATTGGCGGGGTCTAATGTACTACCAGATTTAAGTAAAGGTATTACTTTACTATACTTCATTAAATCAGGACACACACCAGACTCGATACTACTATTAAAAATAATAGCTAAATGAGGCGCGATTGTATATATTATAGACGCAATAACTTTAACGGAAATCCCCCACAGACCCGCAGTTTTCTTAACATCAATAGTTTTAAAATATTTTACAATATCTTTTGATGATACTATATGAAATGTAAAATTCTTTGTACACGCATTTACATTTTGTTTAAGTAATGATTCGGAGACAGCAGGAGAAGAATTCAGTGACTTAGTGTTTAATATCGGAATAGCAGTAAAATATTTCTCAAAAACCATTGCAACGTCCTGATCTGATTCGGTTAATTTGTTATTAACACTTAACTGGTAGTTTGAATTACGAGAGTTGATCTAACCGGTTTCGCTATTAATTATACTCCATGTCATTTTAATTTTATTAGAAGCCGTCTTAATTTTGTTGCTCAAATGCAAAGACTTGGCTTTGGAGCACACTTTTTTAAATATTATTGAATATTTTTTTACATATTCCCTAAATTCGACGCTATGATTATATGACCTTTCATGGTAAAAATAATATAACCTGTCTATATATACTATGTCTGCTCTTAAGGACTCCTACTGTCGCCCATTCATTAATCGACTTCCGACTGTTCAAGGAGAATGTTTTAGAAGTAAAAGTATTGTTAAATTCATTGCAAATAAGCTTAAATAATGTTCAATACAAAAAATTTGGATCATTTTGGTATGAAAGTGATGGAAGTTTTTTCACTATGTTACTTCTAAATTTCTCCAAGCGACGTGCATTTACTGGAACAAACACAACTTTCTTATTTACTTGCTTTTTGTGAACATAAGGTAACGAAACTACCTGTCCACAGTGATCAGAACTTAATTTTTGAATTATACATTTATGCAACGGCTTCACATTTGTAAAAATGTTATCTATACATGTTGCACTAGATTGAGCATTACGCGTTGGTTCTAAAAAAAAATTAAAAAGACCGTATGATTCAAACAATGATCTAAATTTAATATTGATTGAGGAAGCTTCTAGGAGATTGATATTAAAGTCTCCACATATTACAACAGATTTATTCTGTTTATTAAGCTTAGTAAAAACTTCCTCCATAATTTTTTCAAAAGTATCGTATATAGAACATGGGGGTCTGTAGACGCTCACAACATTGAGGTGCTCAAACTCAACACATGCCATTTCTACAGTTCGCTCAACAGAGAGGTTCACAATATCTTTACGTTCTTTACATGACAATAATTTACTAGCTAATATTAAGGAGCCACCTCTTAAAACCGTTTCTCTATTGAAAGAACTGACCACCTGGTGATTACTGAAGTTAAACATTAAGTTATAAGCTTTAAACCAATGTTCAGTAATACATAAAATATGAATATTGTTGCTATTTAAGAACAACTCAATTTCTAGCTCTTTGCCTATCATGCCTTGTATATTTTCATGCACCAGGTGTAAACAATTTTTATTATCACTCTGTGGAGTCATACATTATAAATTATTTAAATTATTACAACTGCTAGAGATTATCTTTTTTGTCTCATTTTCTAATTTAAATTACTTGGAACTGATCCCAAATCACATATTAAATCATTATACTGCTCAAAAGGAGCAGATGTCTGTGTAGCCAAGTCCTTGGCTGAGTTAATATATAAACAATAAGATACTCGTAGCACATTTGCTATCTGTCTTAATATATATTTAGATAGGTAATACCTATCTCTAGTCAAAAATTTTTTAATTACATTATTTATATCTATTAAATTAAATTAATTATTATAATTATAACAATTAAAAGTCAAGCTTAAATTATTATTACATGAAAAGTTATTCATTAATAAATTTATATCAAATTTTATTTTTCTGCGGCCAACCCTGTATGTAAGGCAATGTAAACAAGATAATTTTATGTACATTTAATTTTTTTTTTGATTTATTGATATATTATTTTATGATTTTGATTATCAATATATTTTAATAATTGACTTTTGTTTACATTGCCTCTTCTCCCAACAAGAATTATTAATGTGCTATTAGGGCAAAATTGAGTAGCTAAGACTTTATTCATTATATGACTAAAGGATACTCTTGGCATGCAATAATTCCTGATCATATGTCCTTTTAAACAGTTATTTAACATCATGCCCAAATTTTTGCCTATGTCATCACAATACATAATAATTTTTTTTTTAATATTATCATTGCTTTTTAAGTTTATATCCTTTGTCATGGCACTGTCATAGAGTGTAAGTGAAAATAATGAGTCCTTACTGTTTACTTTGTTATTTACACATATTGTCCCGACATGGACCCCGTTTATGGTTGCGAACCATATTATATATACATATAAATAAAAGTGTTTGTGTGTAATATCGAAATAACTACCTTCTATGACCTGAGGAGGTTACTGTATGCTATTAAGACAAGAATAACCATATTTTTCTTATATTTCTGTCTATCGGTCCGGACTAATATTTGGAATGGCTGAATCGATGGTAATGAAACTAGACCAACAGATAGAGAACAGCACCGGGAGTAGTCTATCACTACATATTAGGCTAGGCTTATTTTATCCGAAAAACTTTGAAAAACTTTTTTGAGAAATCGAAAAATTGATAAAA